TGCACTGCTTTGGCAAATTTAATACCTTTGTAAAAGGAAAAATAAATATTTTTGTTCATTGCAGTACTTTTTTGGAGTGATTATTGCACATGGATGATAGGTTAGTTACACTAAAAGATTCATTTTAACTCTTAATGGTGTTAATCCAAGTGCACCATTTAGCTTCCATTAGTAGTGTAATCAACACTATTTTAGCATAAATTGTCACCATAAGATGGTAACCTGATTTCTAGTGGTGTTGACAATTTACTCCATCAGTGTCTGTTATGAGTGAACTTTAAACACTTACTTAGTGTTCTTGTCATCTGTTGTGGTGTTAAAATTTTACACTGTAAGAGTTTGTTAAGTAACACTGCATAGTGTTTATAATTGTAACTCTTTCAAAAGTGTTAATTTAACACTTTTCCAGTGGTTCCCATATAAACCCCGAGAGAGTGTTAATTTTAACTCTAAGAGAGTTAAATTTGCTATTTCAAATTTGCTGTGGAGGTCGTGGGCTCCTCTTCTGGCTCCTCAGTTGGCCTTTCCCCTTTGAAAAGAAGCCCTTCAAAGACGTTTGTTTTTTGCTAGTTTGCGGGCTTATTTTTTTAAGCAACGTATCACGTGACGTCGTGACCGACACATGCGTCTTGACGTGTCAAGGGGCACAGGTGGGTGATACGTCGTTTTTCATAATAAAACATCTTCCAGACTCTAAAAATCAATGCAATGGAAATTATATAAATTATTTATTCTTTCTGTGCGGCCCGGTAACAAATGCCTCACGGACCGGTACCGGGCCACGGCCCGGTGGTTGGGGACCACTGCTATAACGTGACATGACTATAGAGTCCAGAATGGGTGTAGATGGAATGGATGTTGACCACAGGAAGGTAGGAAGAGGGTAGTTGCTGGGCCGAGCTGCGGAGCGTGGAGATGTCTCATTGGCTGGTCGAGTAGAGGTGGTTGAGGCTGAAGAGAAGGGAACCAGGCAGAAGGCAACAATGAGCAGAGAGGATCAGGGGAGAGAAAGCACCAAACTGGCTGGGGAATGATAGTCTGATGGCAGGATGGAGTGGGTCCAGAGGTAAACAGTTCCATGTGGGAGAATGTGTCCAAGCAGGAGGGCTGAAGGCAGGAACGGGTGAGGAGAAGGCTAGTTGGCAACGGGGGCAAACTGAAAACAGTCACAGAGAGAAAAAACAAAAGAACAAGGCAAAATAGAAAACAGTCTCTGGATTAACGTGAGGTGGCTCTAGTTGTCTGTGTGGGCACAAGAATGAACTGGCAGTGGGCAGGTAGGAAGGCGAAGTAAATATAGGAGATCTGGTGATTGCATGAGTGACAACGGGTGGTGGTAATGAAGATAGCTGGCAGGTGTGTGGAGGTGAGAGGGCAGGTGAAACCGAGCCACCCTGACAGTACCCCCCCCACCCCAAAGGATGGATAACAGACAGACACACAACACCACCCCAGGGAAGGAGGCGGGGGCCACCCGAAGGAGGGCATCACCGCGGCCCCCCAGGCTTGTCAGGATGAGCTCTGTAAAAGGGCTGAGGATGAATGAACAGGTAATACAGGTGCATTCCTCCAGACCGTATCCCTCCCAATCTACCAGGTATTGTAAACCCTGGCCCCTAGGGCGCACATCCAGGATTTGATAGACATGGCATTTGTGTTCAGCGAGAGAAGTGGAATAAATGAGTATGTTGTCTAAGTAGACAAAACAGAATTGGCCTATGAAATCTCAAAGCACATCATTGATCAACCCCTGGAAAACCACTGGGGCGTTGGTGAGCCCAAAGGGCATCACCAAATACTCAAAATGACCTAGTGGTGTTTTGAAGGCGGTCTTCCAAACGTCCCCCTCATGAATAAGCAGCAGATGGTTCCTGAGGTCCAGCTTCGTGAAAACCGCCGCACCCTGCAAAGACTCAAAAGCAGAGGACAGAAGGGGTAAAGGATATTTGTTTTTCACAGTGATAGCATTAAGACCACGGTAATCAATACAAGGATGGAGGCCACCGTCCTTCTTCCCCACAAAAAAGATCCCTGCCCCAAGGGGTGAGGAAGAAGGACGGATCATACCTGCACGTTGGGCTGTAGTGATGTACTCCTCCAGAGCCTTTCATTCAGGTTTGGATATGTGGAAGAGTAGACTGTTGGGCTTGATGGCTCCTGGATACAGGGTGATGGCACAGTCATAGTGTCAGTGTGAAGGGTGCAAGTGGCAAGGTGATTGCTGAAAACAGAGTGTAAATCATGGTAGTCAGGAGGGATGAGGACAGGCTGGGTGGCTCAGGTGGTGGAGAGGCAGAAGGAGGAGTGGAGGACAAACCAGCCAGGAGGCAGGTGGTGGCACAGATCGGGCTCCATCTGGTGATAGTAGCAGTGGTCCAGTCCAGGACAGGGTTATGTTGGACCAGCCAGGAGTGACCTAAGACGAGAGGTGTGTCCAGGGTGAATAGTATCTTGAATTGAATAGTTTCCTGATGGTTACTAGCGAAGGTGAGACGGATGGGGGGTTTTTGGTGTGTGATAGTGGCCAGCAGCCGGCCGTCGATAGCTCGGGTCTCGAGGTTGCGGGGTAGAGGTTCAGGGGTGAGACCCAGCTGTTCCACCACTGCGGGGTCCATTAAATTTCCCCCCGCCCCGGAATCGATGAGTGCCAGGTGAGTGGTGGTTCAAAAAGGGGTCTCGAGGAGCATGGGGAGAAGGCAGTTGTTCTTGGGTTCAGTGGAGGTAGAGGGACAGCGCGTCAGTATCCCCACTGACACTGACAGGCCTGGCCTTTTGGTTGCACCGGGCAGACAGAGATATGGTGATCCGGGGCACCACAGTACAGACAAGACCAAGTGCGGATCCTGCGGGCTCGTTCCTCGGGGTCCAGAGGGGTTCGTCCGAGCTGCATTGGTTCCTCCCCTCTGCCCAAAGAGTATCCATAAGCTGCCCCCAACGGTGGAGGTCCGGGGCTCCCCATAGGAGGCGGAGGGATGGAGTGGCCTCTGGCAGCCAGCTGCTGTATCACATGGTGCTTCTTACCGATGTGCAGTTGGTTGTCGATACTGACAGCCAAGTCAGCTAGGGAGCGAAGGTCAAGGGGCTCCTCTTTAATGTTGAGCTCAGCCTTAATATTGTCATTGAGCCCAATGTCGAAACGCCATGTGCAGAGCGAACTCGTTCCAGCCGGCCTCTGTGGCCAAGACCCGGCAGTCGACGGCATAGTCTGATGCCCTGCGCCCCCCCCCGATGGATCGTCATGAGCTGCCTAGCTGCTTGGCTCTGGTGATCCGGAGGGTTGATGACGGCGCGTAGATCCTGAAGAAAGTCTGTGATGGTGATTTCTCATAGCTGTCCTTGAGCGTCCGCAGCTTCAGCCCAGGTAAGTGCCTTTCCTCTTAAGCGATTGATGACGTAGTTGATCTTCACTCTATCAGAGCGGAAAGTCTGGGGCTGCTGGTCAAACAGCCTCTGGCACTGCAGCAGAAACGCATGGCACTTGGTCACATCCCCGTCAAAGGTCTCCGGCTTGAGTATTGGAGGGTCCCGGCTGGGGCTGAGCGCCCGAGCAGACGGGCTGGAAACGGCAGTGGTGTCAGCCAGGGGTGATGCATAGAAATGCCGTTCAATAGTTGTTGTCAGTCTCGCTATTTGCTGTGCGAGACTGGCGGTGGTGTCTAATTGTTGCCACAGTGCCAGATTAATTCTGTCCAGCTGCACGGCTATGTGTGTGAGTGCTGGAGAGCTGCTTATGCTGGAGTCAGCAGAGTCCATGGTGGCCAGTTTGTTCTGTTATGAACACATACCACGCGAGGTGGTGTGACAGAGAAAACAAAGGGCTGACTTCACCATAAGCAGTGTTTATTTAGTGCTGTACGAGGCAAGGAGTGCTATAACGTGACATGACTATAGAGACCAGAATGGGTGTAGATGGAATGGATGTTGACCACAGGAAGGTAGGAAGAAGGTAGTTGCTGGGCCAAGCTGCGGAGCGTAAAGATCTCTCACTGGCTGGTCGAGTAGAGGTGGTTGAGGCTGAGGAGAAGGGAACCAGGCAGAAGGCGACAATGAGCAGAGAGGATCAGGGGAGAGAGAGCACCGACCTGGCTGGTGAATGATAGTCCGATGGCAGAACGGAGTAGGTCCGGAGGTAAACAGTTCCATGTGGGAGTATGTGTAGTGATAGATGGCCCTATGACACCCGAGGCTCCGACACATGCGCGGTAGCTCATAAAGCAATTGTTTTGAACTACTGTGCTGAAGCGTTTCGAGGTGGATAAATTGACACTACCTCACTGTCCTGGGTACATCTGTGCTGGGAGACAGTTTCCTCAAGTGAAGCTCGTCATCACTAGAGTGTGAACAAAATTATCTTACAGAATGAACAGAGTGGCGTTGGGTTTTGAAAGAATGTAAAGTGTGTGTTTGGTTTATGCTGCACTTTATGTTGACATTGAAGAAGTGCCTAGGTTCCTTATGCTTGTAGCCAGAGATTTAAGGCAAATGTTTAACTTTTTTGCCAAATAAATAAAAAAAATAAATTTGGCAATGCTTACCAAAAATGTGCCAAACAGAACCAAAAAAACTGGACCACAGAACTTTGAATTTTGCGAACTGTTCCACCCTTAGTACTGACCCTAAAGCACACTTGGTAAATGTTGCCCAAATACTTGACTTACTATATGAAAAACCAAGCACATACTTGTTTGTAAAGTTGGAGTAGAGGGCTGAGTCCACACGCTTGATACCCTGAGAGAGACAATGCAAAATGCTGTTTATCTCATATTTAACACACGTTTTAGGACACACACATTAAGAGAATAAACACACATGCATGCACACACACAGACTGGGGGCAGACAAGAATGCCAGCTGAGAGGCGCCAGGCAGAATAAAATGTCATCAGGTGTCAAAGGGAAACCAAGATAGATGCTGTCCTTCCTCTGTGCCTCCACTGATGACCGCTGTTCATCTTTGTGTCCTCTCCACCCTTCACCCCATCTCCCCTCATATCTTTATCTATTTCATACCAATTCCTTGAAGCACTACACCATTTCCTCTGTCCCTACCTCACATAATATACAGTGAGGAACAGAAGTATTTGAACACCCTGCGATTTTGCAAGTTCTCCCACTTAGAAATCATGGAGGGGTCTGAAATTCACATTGTAGGTGCATTCCCACTCAGAGACAGAATTTTAAAAAAAATTCAGGAAATCACACAAGAATTTATTTGTCTTGCACCTGGTCAATCCAACACACTCAAAGTGGACTTAAAATCAAATCTGAAGCAACCACAATGGGATTCTTATTCATTATTAAGTAGCCTGTTTGGTGAATTTGGAGTTGATAATAATGAATTAAAGGACAATAAACAAACATAACTCTGGTCTTTTATTAAACACTTTTCATTTTTATGCAATCATTTGTGTGAGGGACACTTTAGTGCTTATCCACAAGATGAAATGCACTTGTAGAAATCTTTACAATATGAACAACAAGCACATTTTTCAGATACCAATTCTACTTCATTACGCTTATGTATCTAATGCAGATGTTGTTAAATATGAAACTGAAATCGCTGCACTATTAATCGTACTTTATCTTGTAATTATGAAATGTTTTCTCACAGGTTCCTGAGCTCCTTTTTTTTTTTTTTTTTTTTTTTTTTTTTTTTTTTTTTTTTTGTAGCCTAACTATATGATAGTAAGTCATAAGAACTAGATAATACTCCGAAGTAGTTACTTTAATGCAGTGATTGTTGGTTATGTTAGCAGCACGGTTCTACAGATGATGGTTAGAAGGTTGACCTGGTCAATCCAACACACTCAAAGTGGACTTAAAATCAAATCTCAAGCAACCAAAAATGACTTTAGATTTAAAAAGTGTGGCCTAAGATTTATGTGAAATCTTAAATTACAAAGTGCAGGATTCCTATTCATTATTAAGTAGCCTGTTTGTTTGGTGAATGTGCAGTAGATATTTAATGCATGTGTGAGGGACACTTTAGTTCTTATCCACAAGATGACATGCACCTGTAGAAATCTTTACAATATGAACAACAAGCACATTTTTCAGATACCAATTCTACTTCATTATGCTTATGCATCTAATGCAGATGTTAAATATGAAACTGAAATATGTAATCATGAATATTAATTTCAACTCTTAAATTATCAGTGATTCAGTTTCACATTTTGGATAATGCTGTTTTGTACATTTGCTGGTGTGATGCCACCTGTAAAATGTCATGCACTATGCTATTGTTGTCGTTTCTTATACAGGTACACGGCACCAGATATGTAGCCGTCCTCCTGGTCTGCCAGCGCTCTCTCCCAGTTCTCCACCTCAGTGGCCTCTATACAATTCCAGAGCCCCTCTTCCTCCAGCTGCTTCAGCTCACGCTCCAGGTCAGCTTTGTAGTCCACATTGCAATCGTCATTTTCGGTTGTCATGCAAACGTAGCCACCTAGTGGAAACAGGCGATATTGCAGTGGTTTTGTTTAGTGAATAAGAGTCACCTGCTGTACAGTGAGGAAATTCTGACAGCATCAATCCAACCTGGTTTTGTGGATCTGCACAACTCTCTGACCACAACGAATGGGACATGACCAGCACACAGTGCTCCGGTAATCACAACCACATCAAACGAATCTGCAGAAAGAGATGAAGAGAACACTGAAAAGTTTCGGTTAAAATGAAAGTCACTTTTCCAAAAGCAATGCCTACTCATACTGCTAATATTGATTATAATCCTAAAGACTGACAATATTTAATAGCCACAATATCAAGACTTGTTTTCAAAATAGGTTCATAAAGTTCATCACGGAAGGATGTGCAGGATTGACAATAAAGCAACCAAAACTTTAAAATATGTAACGACTTAAAAAAATGTTAACTATAACTATTTGGATAAATAAATTATATTTTACCACATTACACCAAGTAATGTAAACAGATCATAAAATATATCTGAACACAAATACAGAATAAACCACCAAGTCTGAGGATTATGTACTGAATCACAGCAATCAATCTAGGTGAAGTAATGGAGCACTGCAGTACCCCACTGGGCAGGTAGTGGCTCCTCTCCCATCATGCACTGCTTCAGCTCCTGGTACAACCCACTCTCTCTGGCCACCTTCAACATAGCCTCACTTCCATCAATACCCACGAAATGTCCAAATCCATGACTCTTCATCTGTACAGCAGAGAAATGTTTGGTTGTTAATTGGTCATATTGGTTAAATCAGATGTGTAAATTGAAATCTGCAGGACCAAGAAAGAAAAATCCTGAAAGGTTTTGATCCAAACAAATCACTCTGAACAGAAAATAATTATCTATCTGGTGGGTTTACCTGTCTGGCCACCTCTCCTGTACCACAGGCCACATCCAGCACGACAGCTGCATCACGATCACCACTGAAATGGGAAGACACGGTATTTGCCGCCACACTTGGGGCACGGTACTCCAGAACAACCACATCCTATTCAGACAAGTTTTACAGAAAGAAAAGTAGCTTTTAGCACAGGCAAAGACAGCAAACATCAACAAGCTTCTGTACATTATTAACTATATAAAAAAAAACACGAGATCAGCAGCCATTGAATCATTTTATGAAATACACAGACAGGTAATGATATACAGTGGCAAGAGAAAGCATGTGACAGAAAAAGTACAACAAATTAACAATTTTTGTAGATAAAAACAATGTGCTCAAGCTAAGCTAAGACAACAAATTAACAATTTTTGTAGATAAAAACAATGTCCTGTTTTTTTTATTTATTTATTTATTTTTTTTTTTTTGCAAGTTAAAGTAGCTCAAACCTTCACCATTCTCATTTCACTGACTGGACATCAAGTTAACATACTATTTCCAACCTATACTTTCAAACATTTTAATTAAGTATTAAATAAAATGTGTTGCACTTGTTGGTTGCTTTGCTTTCACTCTTAATCTGGAAAGCCTGGACACTGTCCTGCCATTCCTGAAGCCTGCTGTCTTGTTCTTTTCTTCTACACAGCCTGGATTTGTTTTTGTTTTATTTGGCTCATTATCCTGCTATAGGATGAAATCCTGAAAGGTCCGACTTCCACGGTTAATGCCTTTCTCAAAAAAAAAGCTTCAGATTCAATTTGTAAGGACAAGTAAAACTGGTTTGTTTTTTTTTTTTTTTAACCTCTGGCAGTTTAATTCTTAGCTTTGTACAATTTGAGATTATTCACTTGGCTGCAAATCCAAGTGCAAATGTTTTAAACATATAAATAAAAATGGAAGTCCTGACACTTGGCAGTGGTGTATCTCACCTGATCATAGTTCTCTGCCCAGGAGTTGTAGAAGTTCACTTTTTCTTCTGAAGTGGTGTTTTTATGAAGTGACTGGATAGCTGCTTTCACATGTTCAAATGTTTTAGCCATTATATAAAATCCTGTTAAAAGGGGGGAAAGGAATAAAAATCAGCGAAATACAGTAGCTACATTATACAGGTTATATTCATATCCTAGGCTATATAAGGCATCATCATAATAATAATAATAGATCTGAGTGTGGGTAAGAGGGGGTCCTAAAAATTCATTCTGTCAACGTGTCCTACCTATGCTAACCACAATCTGGTTAGGGCTAGCAAATCCATAGACCCACCATATACAGGTGCATCTCAATAAATTAGAATATCGTCGTAAAGGTATACCTGTCTTTTAGCTATGTTTTGACCAATGATTTAAAAGTTGTCCAGATCTGAGTGTCGGGTGAGAGGGGGTCCTAAAAATTCATTTTGTCAACATGTCCTAACTATGCTAACCACAATCTGGTTAGGGTTAGCAAATCCATAGACCCACCAAAGTCCATTTATTTCAGTAATTCAACTCAAATAGTGAAACTCGTGTATTATATAAATTCAGTACACACAGACTGAAGTAATTTAAGCCGTTGGGTCTTTTAATTGTGATGATTTTGGCCCACATTTAACAAAAACCCACCAAATCACTATCTCAATAAATTAGACTATGGTGACATGCCACTCAGCTAGTCAACTCAACACCTCCAAAGGTGTCCTGAGCCTTCAAAATGGTCACTCAGTTTGGTTCACTAGGCTACACAATCATGGGGAAGACTGCTGATCTGACAGAATGATTGTCCAGAAGACAATCATTGACACCCTTCACAAGGAGGGTAAGCCACAAACATTCATTGCCAAAGAAGCTGGCTGTTCACAGAGTGCTGTATCCAAGCATGTTAACAGAAAGTTGAGTGGTAGGAAAAAGTGTGGAAGAAAAAGATGCACAACCAACCGAGAGAACTGCAGCCTTGAGAGGCTTGTTAAGCAAAATCGATTCAAGAATTTGGGTGAACTTCACAAGGAATGGACTGAGGCTGGGGTCAAGGCATCAAGGGCCACCACACACCGCC